GGGAATGAAGGAGAAGGGGCTGGGGGCCTGGACTCCTGAGTCTGAGGGAGGAGGGGCTGAGGGCCTAGACTCCTGAGTCTCAGGGAGGAGGGGACTGGGGGCTGGACTCCTGGGTCTGAGGGAGAGTGATCAGACTGTGGCCTGGCCTCCTGGGTCTTCCCAGTTCAAGAGAGTGGCCGTGTGGGGGTCTCTGAGGCTCTGCCTTGGGGGCACAGTTGGTGTCACATTGGTGATTTCAAACCACCGGCTGTCCCGCAGGAGAAAGGTGACAAACAGGTGACTACTACTGCTCACTGCCATCAAGCCAGTGGCAGCCTCAGAAGCCTTGGGAGGGCTTCTACCCTGTTTTCGGGGGGCTCTGAGCTGGAATTGACTTGATGGCAATGGATGGGTTGGGGGGTTGTACGTTTTGGGTCCAGGGGTCCTGGCTGCTGAGGACCTGTGAGCAGAGACCAGGTGTGTGCTCCCTCTCTGGCCTGTTCTCCCTCACCTGCCCCCCCCTCGCCCTGCCCCCCAGGACGTCGGGCACCTTCCCCACCTCCGTGCTCACCCGGGGCCCCCAGCTGCTCATCCACTCGGTGGACAGAATGCTGAACACCACCTTCGTCTGCGTGGTCACCAACGCGGTGGGCACGGGCCGCGCCGAGCAGATCATCCTCGTCCGAGGTGAGCGGGTCTCAGGGCAGCATGTGGAGAAGCTGTCCGCCCCCCACTGTCCCGGCTTCCTGGGGTGGGGGTCGCCGCCAAGGCCAGGGCAGGGGCGGACCCGCTCGCTGAAAGAGACAGGGCAGGTGGCGCCCCCTTCTGGCCCCGGGCTGGAATAGGGGGTGACTGCCATGGGGCACGCAGGCGCCAGACGGGGCTTGGGGGGAGGAGTCTGGGAAAGGAGGGCGTGGCCAGAGGCGGGTCTTCGGAGGAAATCGGCTTGGGAAAGGCACGCCCCTTCCAGCGCACGGCGCCCCGCCCCTCAGACATGCCCTTGGGAAAGCCCCGCCCCTCCAGGCGCCCCGCCCCTCGGACATGCGCTTGGGAAGGCCACGCCTCTCCCGGCGCCCCGCCCCTCGGACATGCGCTTGGGAAGGCCACGCCTCTCCCGGCGCCCCGCCCCTCAGACAAGAGCATCTAGCCGTCTAGATGTCTGGATGGAGGCATCCACATGAGCACCTGGCCAGGTAGCCGGGAAGAACGGCGGGGGCCGTTGAAGCCAAGTAGGCCCGGGTGTGGGCTGCCGGAAACGGACGGGAAGCCCAGCCAAGGCCCCACATCTGGTGGAGCAGGAAGGGCCCTTCACACGTGGCGCCCGCATCCGGACACCTGGGGAGATTTCACCCCGAGCTCCGCAGAAGGGACATCAGCCATTGGCACTAGGACACGCCCCTGAGGCTATCCAGGGTGCCTGAGACCCGGAAAGGTGGTGGTGTGGGCCAGGAGGCTGAAGGGCACCGCTGCCGTCCAAAGGGTGTGGGCTGCCCTTGGCACACAGTGTCCCTTGTTAGGAGCCTTGGTGGCGCAGTGAGGTACACACCTCAAGGTCGGCAGTTCGAAACCACTGGGCGCTCTGTGGGGCAAAGATGAGGCTTTCTGCCCTCATAAAAGAGTTAGTCTCAGAGGGGCGGTTCCACCCTATCTGATATGTTGGCTATAAGTCGGCATTGGAGCAAGACACAAGAGTACATCACATACCATTTCTCCAGCCTACACACAAATATATGCCACATGCTACACACTGACCGCACATGAACTACATGCACACTGCATACCACATGCATGCTTGATACATGTGCACACTCCACACGTTACGTGCACATTGCACATACACACATGCATACACATTCTACACCACAGGCGTATCTCACATGTCCACATATACATGCATACCTCACACATACACACCAAGTACACGCATGCTACATATGCACCCCACTCACACCCCCACATACATACTATATACATGCCGTACCCCGTATATGTACTACATACACACCACATACCTCATCGGTCGCACCCACACACCCCAGGAATGGTGTGTACACTCTCCCTCACTTAGACAGGTGGGTGTAGGCTGAGGTGTACCCCAAGGAAAACCAGGGCCTGCTCAGAACCACCGCCCTGACCCAGATGCCCAGGCAGACAGCCCCAGCCCCGCTCCTGCCCACTAGCCAGCCATGCTGGTGGCCCAGCGCCCATTGGAGGATGGGTGTTGCTGGCCCAGGTGCAGGGAGTTTAGACACCCAGGTTCTGGGAAAGCGCCAGCCGCTCCCAGGTGCACGCCCTCCGAAACTCCTGAGAAACCCCTGAACTAGCTTCTCAGCCAACACACCGTCACCAGGCAAATATTTGGTGTGATTTCCTGCTTGCCGGGCCTTCTGTGAAAACATCCATTGTGAGAGACACACAGGCCTGCTCCTAAGGCTTGGCCAGGAAAGGGGAGGTGCCACACACCTGGCCAGAAACACCCCCCTACCCCCCCAATGGCCAGATATACAGACACCACATGGCCCACTGCAGGGTCACCCACCCCACCAAAACTCTGTCACCCCGACCAGACAGAGTAGCACCCTCGGGAGAGGCCCCAGGGCTGTCCCTGCCCCCCCTCCAGCCTCAAAGGCCACATGTGGCAATATATGGCTGTGACTTCTGCCCAGGCTGCCAGCCCTGTGCCACCCCCATGAGCGATGGTGGATCTGCCTGCTGTGCCGTGATGCCTGGGATTCTCGGAAACCCATCTCCAGGCCTTTCTTCCTAGGTCGCCATGGCCTGGGCGGCATCACAGCAACGCCCGATCCTCCACGGACAGGCGAGCGAGTGGTGGCTGCAGGTGGGACTGGAACCCAGGTCTCCCACATGGAAGGCAAGGGTTCTCCCACAGAATCACCACCACTCCCCTTCAGCAATAAGCTTCCCCTGCAGTATACACCCTGGTGGTGCTGTCCCGTAAGCGCTGGACTGTAAGCCACAAGGCCGTTGGTTCAAACCCACCAGCCGCTCTTAGAGAGAAAGCTGAGGCTCATCTGCTCCTCCTGTCAAATGTATAGCCTCGGAATGATAAACTCTTATTTATCATATTTCCATTTTGTACTGGTAGCCCACAAATGCAGGATAAAGTGGAGGCATCTGCTTTCACAGCCCCCTCCCCCCATCCCAAGGGCCCTGATCACCCGGCTTTGGGAAGTATTGCTATAAGGGGGTCACTCTGGATTGGAATCTACTTGATGGTAGTGAGTTTGGCTTCAGGCCCTAATAGCACCTCCCCCCCACCCCACCCCACCCTACCCTCATCTACCTGCTAACCGCAAGGTCCAGTGGTTCAAACCCACCAGCCTCTCTGAGGGATAAAAGATGAGGCTAGCTGATTTGCAGCCCAGAAATCCTAGCTGGGTCCCTGGGTCAGAGTCTAAGGGGCAGTGGTAGGTGGGACAGGGACTCAGAGCCCGGACACAGAGCCCAGCCGAGTCCTAGAGTTTCACGCCCCCAAGAAAGAGACACGCCCTGAACATGCTCACAGCAGCCCAGGTCTAGCCAGTGCTAATGCAGTGACTCAGGCCCACGGAGAGCATGCCCCTGCCTAGTCTCGGGTCTCTTAGCGATTCTTACAGTAAGAGTGCAACACACACACACACACACACACACACACACA